CAGGGTACACCCTGGACAGGTCGCCAGTCCATCGCAGGGCAACACACAAACAACCATGCACACACTCATTCATACACCTAAGGGCAATTTAGAGTGACCAATTAACCTAACAGGCGTGTCTTTGGACTGTTGGAGGAAGTCGGAGTACCCGGTGAGAACCCACGCATGCACAGGGAGAACATGCAAACTCCATGCAGAAAGACCCCCACCTGGGAATCGAACCCAGGACCTTCTTGCTGCAAGCAACAGTGCTACCAATTGCGCCACCATGCAGCTCCAAAATATTAGCATACACTATTAAACTGAATGGCAGTTGCAGAGAACAATCCCATTTACAGTTGGTTTTATATTTGTTAGACAAAACTGTCTTGCAAAGCAATGTGTTGTGGTAGCACAATATTAAGAGAGGCATCACTTAGTTCTTCTTGGACATTTTACCTCCATTTCTGCACTGATGGTGATCAGAATTGAAAGACTTTTCTAGAGTTTAGGTTATTCACCGGCAATCATTCAGCATGTCTGTTGTTTTGCTCATGCAAATTTGACCTGGAATGTTTCGTTCTATTGTCAGTTTGTAATCTTTGCATTACTTCACCCTAATTATAATTTTGTTTTCTTTTACAGTGTGTAGATGCCAAGAAGTTCTGCTGGTATTTTGAGGAACGATACCCTGCCTATTTTGTGTAAGTTCAATCCAATTAAATGGATTTTTAAGCCACTGAATGCAATTCTCTGCATATAAAAACGTTAAATGTTCATTATAAAACTCAACAGTCATTGTCACAACATATTAAATTTCAGCCATACAATGATAGCAATATCTAATATTAAGATATTGATTGATCTATATTAATTAAACATATAATTACATAGTTCAAGCATTTCATTCTTTTTATTTTGATGAAAGACAACCCAGAAAAGTTTGTCCAGAAATGAGGACAGTTTAGAAGATCAATAGAATGTGTTTTGCTTTTATGTGTGTGCTTGTCATATCCCGGTGTGTGACAATGAATCCAGTTGTCCTTGAAAAGCAAGAATGTATTTTAAAAAGTATAAGAAAATAAAAATAAAATATTCTAAACTTATTAAAATTTGTTATAATTTGATGATTTCATAATATTATAATACAGCTAACATAAACTGCATATTTTAAATAGAATGTAATGTCATAACGTGGTAAAGATGTCACACAAGGATTTCATAATAATCATGTATTTATTTCACATTAATAACAAAGCATTGTTGGATCCGACAATAACTACATGGTACTGGTATCTAAGCTTACATAACACAAAAGTAAGGAAATATGTGTTTGGTCATTTTTATTTGTTGTAACAGCTGTTCTTTGGCAATAAATATATATCACTGGAGAACCTGTTTATTTGTGCTTAAATAGTGCCACATTTGTAAGGAAAATAGAACTGACTATGTGGACTCCCCTCATCACTGTAGGCAATCACGATGCAGAGAGATATCAGGTTCAGATTCAGTCACCAGGAGCAAGATGTTGATGATTGCCCCATAGAGCCGAAGAAACTGAACTTTGGGGTATTATATGCTTTAAAATTTTATCATCCAGATTCATAGAAATGGGAGCTTGAAATATGTCACTTCGTGTGTAGCGAACATATTTAACAGGAGTTTTAGAATCAGAATCAGAAAAGCTTTATTGCCAAGTATGTTTTTGGACATACAAGGAATTTGTTTTGGCGTAGTCGGTGCAATACAATACAAATTAAACAGTATAAACATATCTACAATATAATATAAA